GTTACAGGAAAAATAAAGTTCATGGCATAGAGGCAGGTAGTTTAAAAAGTCTTATTTATAAAGCTGCAATGATCTTTTTTTTTTTACCATCGCACAGGTTTGTTTTGCTGCCGTTTTCAGTTTCATGAATGGAACATGAGTTTCTTTTGTTGCCATGGTGACAGCACAAGTGACCTCACAAGTAGACATGGTTGTTGCAGTACACATAAAATCAGTGTCAGGGAAACTAAAAACAAAACAGGAGGCTTGCTTTGAGTGCTTATTATACGCAGACTTCTTATATCTCTTATTCCTGAAGTTTCTGGCTTCACTGATGATTTTGTGTACTGCATCAACCAGGTGGCGTTCACCTTATGTTCAGCACTCTTGCACTACGTCAAACCCACAACTGTGGCCTTTTAAGAAATTTGAAATTTTTTTTACATTTTGTCCTCTGACTGACCTTCCCTCAGTCTCTTCTGCAAGACCTCGAGGAGAAGCACCCACAGTTGGACGAGTTAGTCAGCCGAGCAAAGACGCTCCAGCTGGAGTCGCAGACAGAAGGCAGCAAACAGCTGCTGCAAGAGAAGGGTAAACTAAGTCTCTATTTTATATGAATTCACCACCCTCCAAAAAAGTTATGTTGCAAACAAAAACTTTTGGATCAACTCTTTTAGTTGAGGCTAGAACTTCACACCATAAGCTCCTCGCATGAGTAAGTGCTCATCGATTTTACGTGTATATGTACAAAGCGAGAGCAATAGCATACCTAACCAATTTTCGTATGGAAAATTGTAGCCTTTACGTGGCACAGAGCACTTGGTTCAAATGACCCCCCCTCCCCCAACAACAACCAATTCTGTTCAGGTGCTTGTAGCGGGAGCAGATTGCCTCCAAATATTTCATCTCTACAATAGTGATAAATGCATGCTGTGGGTCTTGAGTAAAAATGTTCCCGAGTTAGAGAAGGCTTTTCCAGCCTTTACCTCAAATGAACGTTGACAGATTTTTTGAGAAACTTTCTCTTATTTTTCACTCGGCTTTTTTCAGTGAACATGCTCCTGGGCCTGAGGCTCAATTGTTTTTTCTTTGGACAATTAGTTGGGAAAAGTGCAATTCAGAAGCAATAGAACAAGCTTTCTTATTGGTCAATTTTAGGGGACCGACTCTGGGATGTGTGGAACAGATCCTTTTCTTCTGTTGGAGATGAAAAATATCCATGATTCAAACTCAGCACTGAAACAAATATTTACCTAATTTGTCATGTGGCATTTTACAGTAGACAAGCTCAAGGAGTTGAAACAGATTTCTTTTCTTTGACAGTTTGAGGTGGAAGGTGATTCAAAGTCAACTATAAAACAAGTTTTACTTTTTGTTTGTTTTTTGGGGGTTTTTTTGCTTGGCTTTCCCAGTGGACAAGCTCCTGGACCTGTGGAACAGCGCCTCCCTGCGGGCCAGCTCCCGCTCCCGCCAGCTGCAGGCCATGCTGACCGACTCGCAGCAGTTCCACGAGCTGACCGACGAGCTTTGCCACTGGCTGGGCAAGATGGAGCAGACCTTGGACGGCTACGCGCCCGTGGGCGACGAGGTGGCGGTGCTGCAGGGCCAGTTGGAATCACAAAAGGTACAGTGAGAAACGCATGACTGGCCATTCAAGGAGAGGGTACCTCTGTGGGGAAGAGATGACAGTTGTCATGCATTGACAGAGAGGGTTTTGTTTTGTACAAAACAGGTACTTGTATTGTGAGTTCTGTGGGGAAACTATGCCGGTTATTTTTGTGTACTCGGCAGACAAACAGTTGAAGGTCGATAGAGTTTGTGATTCATATGTTTACACCCTGCTGCATATAGGCATTGCTGGAAAAGGGTAATGGTTTTCCTGATCCAGAGAGAGGTAAGGTTGTAATTGTTGCTTCAGAAGTTGCGGCTTGACTTTGGGGGCAAGGGGATTAGGTTGAGGGAATGCTGATTAGATGAACTGCTGGCTTGGTGAGTAGGCAGTGCAGACTGGAATTACTGCTGGCTTGGTGGATGATTGTACGGTAATCACATGCCTGGTAAAACAGACTGCCACACATATGTACTTTCCAAGCTACATGCATGCTACTCCAAGAAATTAAAGGATTAGACATTTGTCTTCGAAAATTTCAGCCAGGTGAGTACTTCATTGATTTTTACTGACTGGACACTGAAGAGCATGTTCACGCCTGAACATCGCTACATGTACACTAAATGACTGTTATGTAAAAACTAATTTTTAAAAATTAATTAGTGAGTGTGATCCTTTAATTTTTTGGAGTAGTGTTGAATGCGCACTCTGGTAGAAATTTGTGAATGCACAGTGTAAAGTGGATAATACCTACAAGAGCAGTATTAGTCATGCTGGGCAGTCTATTTCAGGTTCTATCTCACAGACCGAATGTAATTTCATAGTGCTTTCTATAACGAGGAAAACAGTTGGAGGAAAATTGTTTTCTCTTCCTTAACTTAGTCCGGTTGGCTGTGCTGTTTTGTACCCTGTGGATACATGTATAAAAACTGTTCGGAGGGGCTAGGTTTTAATGGTATTTCTGAGGTCAGTGAAGTGGAATCTATTCATCTTAACCAACTTGAACTAATTTAACTGACTCAGAGTCTAAATATGCCCACCTTTTGTTTTCAAAGGTCCTTTTGCATTAAAAATAAGGAAACTAAATCAGACAACATGAAATCTTTCTGAAGGTATTTGGTCACCTTCGTTAATTTCTGAGACAATCTCAGAGACTTCCGTTCAAGGATCAAGTGGACCTGAATGAGCCAGTTGGGTAGTTTGAAAAGCCCAGGAACAAAATGTTTGCGAGACTTAGTGTGTGGCTGTGCTGATAGGGCAGACTATTGCAGGTGCGGGTGCCTGTTCCCTAATAGCCTTGTGCAGGACATGCACTGTTAAAATATTGAACTGGCTCATTGGAATCAAAGGATGACCCTTGAACTCTGACCGTCTGGCAGGCTTTCCTGGAGGAGGTCGAGCAGTGGAAGCCGTGCATCGATGCGGTGAATGAGTCGGGCGAGCGGCTCATAGTAGACTACAGTGCCGACGACACCAACCGCATTCGGCAGATCCTGGACACCGTGCGGGACCGCTGGACCACCATATGTGATAGGTGAGGACCGAGACTCTCAGGGCTCTCTCGTAATGGAGTAATACTTGGGAGTAAGCACACATTTCTTTAGGAAGTGGCTACAGCTGCCAGGCATTGACTTTCATTGGTGCATGTGTTTGTAGCTGCAAGCCAAGTAGTCCAGACATCCAGTATAGTAGTCACTAGCATGGACAGAATAAAACCAGATTCGATCACTGACTGTGGCTTCAGGCTCTTGCTTCATGAGTTCAGGTCTCTGACTTTGCATAATCAAGTATATGTTCCTTATTAACATTTTTTGCTGTTGAAACACAAAGCTAACAGTGTGAGGCTGAAGTTTTGGGTCTTCCCAGTAGTTTGACAGAATTTATAGTCCACGGCTTCCTTAAATTAAAGATTTTATCAAACAGTAGATGAAGTTTAATCATGAGACTTGGTGCACTTGTGAAGGATGTAAGTCTTACAGGAGCCTTTCTTGAGACATTTCTTTGTAGTTTTAGATAAGATATTTGTGCCGTATGTGTGTGGGTGAGCTTTTTCTGTATCCAGGAAAGATTTTCCTACCAAAACCTGTTATACATTCCTGATTATGAAGGAAATTTTCATTTGTGTCTTGAAATTTTCAATGAAAGCCCTAACTTCCATTGCATAATGTCACTGTTGGATGTTGTGTTGCTTCACTGTACATTTAAAACTAAACTCGTCAGTGTCACAGGAGACCTCAAGACTTTTTAGGCTTCCTGAAATTGTAAAGTTTCTCCATTGGTGGCTTCCCTCGTTCATTATTCAAGATCGTTCTTAACAAGCTGTTTTGCATGCGCCCCAATCTCGAATCTTGAACTGGTCTTGGTTATCACCCATTGCAAATGTGTAGGTGTGTATAGATTTGGAAGCCCGTTTCATCGAGAGGTGGTCGCTCCTTGCATTTAGAGCTCAATCTAGGTTTTGCCCAAACGGGCATGTTATGCAGATAAGGGAATGTAGGTGAAGCTTTGATAGCCAGGTTTAGACACGGCCTTAGTGCAGCAAAATAGTGGCAGTGTCCGAATGTTATATGTGGGGCTGTGTGTGTAGGTCTTTGCCACGGCCAAAATACGTGGCCGCGCACTGCCAACAGTCGTAGCTGCAGCTCTGTGAGCTGGTTTCAACAAATTGCCAGTGCTGATGTGTTTTATTTGTTCGGCTGGCCAGGTCCAACCAGCGACTGCACGCCATTGAGGAGACGCTGCGCTCCATGCAGGACCTCCCCTCCCAGCTGGCCGACTTCTTCCTCTGGCTGGAGGAGCTGGAGCAGCCCATGGACTCGCTGAAGCGCGAGACGGACAACGAGACGGCCCTGCGCGACAAGGATCAGGTGGAGGTCTGGCTGCAGCAACTAGGGGTAAGTTCACCATTTCTTTCACTCGAACCTAATTGGACTGATATTATTGTCAATTTCAAGGCTGTCTAGGTTGTTTTCTATTTTGGTTAACCGAGCCCTTTTGAGTTTACCGATAGATGGCTAACTCTGACTGATATTGTGTCTAGAGGAAAATGTACATGTATTTCAATAGAAAATAATTTTAGGGTCATCAAAATAACTTGTTTGCAGTGTGTACATAGAACAAGGAAAAGTGTGCATGTTTTCACTTTGTTTTTGATACAAGGGGCCTGAAGAGTGCTAATTTTTGTTTTCATGGACTGTACAAAGGACGCAGATACGGATTTGAATTTCCAGACATCATCAATTGTTTTGTTTGATTGGGCTGAAACTTGGTGAGCATAGAGAGCATGGATGTGTTCAGGTGAATGCGAAGTTGCAATGAAAACCATCCCCGTGGTGTCGATTTGAAAGGAAAAAGAATGGTAAAGAGAGAATAGAAGAAAGACAAAAAGAAAAACACTGAAAATGAAGCACACAAAAGTGGCCAATGTTTATAAAAGGTCAAAGCCATTAATTTCTCGTTTTGCTTTTGGAATTCTTGAAAGTGCTAAGTTTTTGTAGCTTGTCCCATCCCTCAAGTGGAAGTTCTGAAAATACAGAAATTATTAAACTACTGGCAGTTTTTTATGCTAGTATATGAAGTCAGTATAGTTTCATGAAATTTGTCAAGAATTATACTTGAAATTGCTTTAAGGATTTTGAATGGTTTTGCTGTTCACCAGCTGTGAAAAATCAGCACAGATTTGACCTGTCAGACTGGTCGAGTTCAATTAACTTTGAATAAATGCCAGTTAATTACAGAACCCCCCCCCTTCTCCAAGGCAACTCATAAAAGAGTAGTAGTTTGAGGAATATAGTGCTGTTTACAGCTTAAGTTGGAAGATTATGTGGGAGGACATGAAGGGAAATGCAATATTGCTTTAATTACTGTGCAGCTGAAGTATCTGCGGATTTATTGAGAAGTCCATGGACAAGTGTTGTGGGGGGCTTTTGCCAGTGTTCAAGGCCTTTGCTGACCACTGAAAAAGGCTAGAATTCTATGATATAATTTTATTTGCACTATCTGGAAATGGTTTCTGCTGTGTGCGGAAACATGAGCCATGAGCCATTTTGATTATTCCTGTGGATGTTATGATAATGTATTTGTTTCATTTACGGGTATTTTTAGATGGTCTGCTGTGTAACCGCTGTGTAACCTAATGTTTCATTCATTTCACGTAACAGACGTGATTTTTTTTAGGTTACCATTCACATTCTTATGTTTGTTTTGCAGTCAGATTGAAAAGTGAGTTTTGTTGAGATAGAATCATAGTGTAGTTGTTCAGGGTGGTTGGTGAACCATCTCGTTTCTTTACTCTCAATGATTGCTTTTTGCCATGCCTAATGTCAGGGACAACTAGGATAATGTCGACTCAGATTAAGATGCAATCCCAAATCGATTGTAAATTTGCTGTTAAATAACTTTGAATGAGCAACCTGAGCAAGCTTTTCAGCAGAGCAAGTTTGTCCGTGGTAAACAAGCTTTCAGTCTGGAGAAGGAAGAATTGGTGACATTGTTCCACATTGTTCTTGCTGAAAGCACATGTCAAATGATAATGTGGAGAAGAAGATGTTTGAGAAGGTTCTCCACTCAAATATTGGATAGAAATTCTCTGCTCACAAGAAGTCAGAGGTCCGAACACCAACTTTCAGTGTTTACATTAGTGCCTCCTTCCAGTAGCTGTCATTTAGTAAAGTGAAACTAATGGTTGAGTTCCAGCGGCAGCTCGTAATTCAATCAAATCTTCCTGACATTTTTGGAGGGCATTCTGGCCTTGTAGATTTATGGCTGCCAGCTATTTTTGAGAGAGACATTAAATCTCCCAAATGCCAGATGCTTGTCTGTGTGTATGCAGGGAGCTACAGTATGTGTGTGTGTATTAAACAGTGACCTCAGAAATTTAAGGTCAGGTTTGTGTTCTAGTCTCATTCCAGCCGCATATTTGTCCTTCCCTTATTGCTTGAGTGACTAGTCCCCGTGGACAGGCTATTTTTTCGCACCCCAACAAGCCCGTCTCTTTCATCTTTCAGCTAATGGTTTTTTTTTCAGGAGTAGATATATCAGAAAAAAAAACCACATGAAATGAAATCATTCAGATATTGAGAATTGTAACGTGGTACTTGTGAATGAGCCATAAAACTCATGCTGCAAATGCTGTTGTAAATAAATGATTGCACTCACAGCAGTTTGCCCGGACAAGCTTTGGTTTTGTAACATTGAATGCATTGTTCACGTAATGACTCTTGTCACTTGTATGTTTGGGGGGGGGGGAACCATTAGTTTGAATATACACCGCAGTAATTATATGAGTTCACATCTGTGAGAAGTTGAGTGTGAATGGTTAAGTGCATGTACAGTACTGCAGATTGAATAAATGATGGCATTACTTTACGAGCCATCCTCTCTACAATCCACCTCCCTCATCTTTGGCCTTTGGTGGTCAAGGGAGGGGGAAGGTTGCCGATGGAGGATATTTTTGTAGTTTATGGCCCAACTGTCAATTCGACTCTTGCCACATTGCACTGAAATCCCTGCAAACAGTGTCAGCGCACTAGGGAACGATGCCGCAAACACAAAAACGGTCCCAAAGGACTTGGTCATCAAGAGCCAGCAAGTGCAAAGTTGTCCCTCGTCATCAATCTGCAGCAAGGGGGGGGGGTAGGGATTACAGGGTTTGCCCATTCCTGGGTTACTGGCAGTTCAATCAAATATTAACTGAACTTTTGATAGGGGGAACTGGCAAACAGAGAGGTGCTTATGGGCCAGACTGGACCAGACCTTGTTAAGGGGACCATCATTTATGATCAGGTTCCAGTAATTGGTCACTAATTGTGTTTGGGGCAAAGTGTAGTTTATTGTCCCAATTGGCAGTTTTACGAGAGAGCTACATGTATCATGTTATCTACATCCAGGGGTTACACTCAAGACGTGGACTAGATTGGGGGGAGCAATGCTTCTTGGGAAGATTGTTCCTGTGCCACAACTTCAGAGAGATGGGGTGTTGCTATGTATTCAGTGAGATGGCTGTGGGAGTGATTATTGCAGATATTTGTCCCAGTTAATGGTTAAATTGTTTGGAATTTTGATCATTTTACCAATCAGTTGGTGTGTTCACGTTTGCTGAGGTCCTGAAACCAACATTTTTGACAGTCAAACTCATTTCAGTTTAGAGTATGATATTCTTAATGTTCAATTTTTATGCACATCGCAAGTTAGGCAAGACAACACTCTACATTTGCGTGTGTACAAATCAAGGTTCCCTCCTAACTTCATCCCTTTAAAAAAGTTGAGAGTTTTGTCATGTTTTCACAGTCCCTGCCACCCAGCTCTTTATTTCAACACAGCTCACTATGCAAGATGAACAGTCTAACGGCTTGTTTACTGGAAGGCATCTAGTGTACTGATAAATGATCTTCTTTCCATCTCAATTGCATTCCTGCACAATCTCTCAGTGATTATGATTGCCGCTGCTTATGATATATGTCTCCTGTGGTTTTGAATTCCAAACCTCTGACTCAAAACTATAACCCAAGTGTGGTTTATGCGTACACCCCTGTGGATTTACATGGATTCTCCCTACAATCAGTTTCTGAATGCTTGATGCTGGTTCTTTTGGGCTGGTCCACTGTTGACAACAGGCTCTCCAGCAGTACCTGTAGAAATTACTTTTTGAGGTCTTTTGTGTGTTTTTCTCCCTCGTTTGATCTGAAAGGTTCTCCTGAGCTGAATCCAACAGGAAACAGCTTGTGAAAAGTACTGTATGAATATTTAATTGGAGAGTAAATTGTGTATTGTTCTTTCCTAAAATATGTTCCCGATATTTTGACAAGCATGCACTTGATGGCTGTAATTTATGATTTATGTGACCTTCTCATCCACATTGTATGGTTATCCAGGTGAATTGCCCTATAAGAATTAATGTACTACTGATTACCATGGAGTTGCGTTTAATAGCTCCATATGATTACTAAGGAGAAAGCTTAGGCCAGGCTAAAATAGTGAGATGTTTTCTGATATGTATTCAGATAAAAGTGAATTATTTCTGCCTGTTTGCAACTTCTCGGATCCCATTTAAGGCGTTACATATATTTCCCCAAATTCACATCTAGACAGGATTTAATTATGAACCGAAGGTGTCTCACAGAAAAAGTGGAATTGACGGCCGTGATACTCACATGTAGAAGGAACCTTGTGGGCATTCATAAATGTCACGTGCCATGAAAGAGAAACCATGTTCTTGTTTGTGGTGGCCTAAGCCCCTAGAGTGGGAAGGTATGACAAGAGGTAATATAAGGTAGTCACATTTTTAGCCAACACCTGCTGGTAGTTCCTGCTGGTAGCTACGGGCGAGAAAACTCCAGTCTAGGGGCACACGACAGGCTAGAGGTGGATACAAAAGACCTCTCACATTACTACTACACATAAGTGTCCTTATTCTTGTGAAGTGTTCACTTCCCTGATCTCCCCAAGGGGGTGGGGTGACTTCACTGCGGGCATGGAATCAGAGCTTTGCATTGGAAGGAGGACTTGAACAAGAGGACCATTCATGAAGCTGGAGGCGTCCGGGAAGTCATGATTGGAAGATGCATGCTCACTACACCAGGCTGTAAACGTTAATGGGGGGTAACTGTGTACATGGACAGCATGACAGTACAGCTACAGGCTTGGTTATTTTTTCTACTGGGAGTGAGTAAGGATCAGTGTTTCTGCACACACTGGATAAGCCCATCCGCAAAATCTCTCAGAGATTAAAAAAAAAAACTGGCAGAAGCTGATTGCTCAACTGATACACTTGACACTCTGGCAGTAGCCACCGATTGAATGCGCAACCTGGAAAACTAGCGGTCTGGTCTTTTGCACAAAGGATGTGTTCCGTGTGTACTCTGCGTGGGCTGCCTACTTGAAACCCAGACCAAAT